ATATTTTTGACCTAACCTTTAAATTTGCAAGCCGCAAATAGTAAACGTCAAAGACGCGTCACACTCACTACTTATATGGCTTCACTTATTTGTAAAGTCACATCAGCCTATAGTGGTAGACTGTACTTCTTGTTCATCTTAATAATCCTCTGTATACACGGATTTACCGTACAACAGTTCCCTATGTGCCATAAGTCGTACGTGTTAACTACTGACTGAAAGTAAATTGTGGACTAAAGGGAAAATGAGATAGGAGAAAGTGAACAGAAACCAAGCCAAGATATTATAACCACTTACTAATTTATTTACATCCAATGTGGTTTACGTGAATAAAGGTCCGTTTTGTAGTCTGGGTTCACGAAATGCTAGAAAACAGTGATAGAGAACCTAAAACAATATCAAGAAATCTGTCACTGTTATGCGGGTCCACTCAATTTTAACCCTATACATGTTAAAAATCTTGTAAGTTTTTGCTTAAAGCTGTCTTGTTAGTCTGTATTGTTCTTTTCATCCTTTGTTATGTATTTTTATATTTTTCAGCAACTTAGTAACAAAAATTGATGCACATACTGTAAAATTTGAAATGATTTTTCTCATTACCAAGTAAATTGAAAGATTTTGGCTTAGTTATTTAAGTTTATCATCTTTAAACATGGAAGCGATTTATTGAATTTCACAATTACGTGATCTGTGGAAATGAATTTCTAAATGATCACCATAGTATTTACAAACTAAGCAGACTACTGAGATAGCTTTTTATGCTCAAATAAATTACTGCATTCCATACAAGTCTAGTTTTTTCATTGGTTACTCTAGTTGCTTTAAAATAGGAGTATTTGTCGTAAACATTTTAATGGCTAAGAAGACTACATTTGAAGCTTACTGAAGTATGAACTATGTTGAAAATTTTCAACGTAAGCCATAGATGTGATGTTCCTGACCATTAGGTGACTTCGTGATCCATTTATGTATAATATCCACTGAAATGAAACCTTTCACAAATAAATAACCAATAGGGTAACTGTAAAGCTTCTGATTCGTGCTTTTTCGTTAATTCTACCCTTCATGTGCATCATTTAAGATGAACAAACTCTTATGAAAGTTGTGTACTTGATAAACTTATTTGTATTGATTTCCTCGGAAATGATCCTCCTATATTTGTTGAGGTAACACACAGGCTATTTATGAATACTATCATATGTGAGACCCACATTTATAGCATCCCTCAAATTATAATAAAAAATTTATCCATGAAATCTGTCAGCAATAACCTTTAAAAGAATTCTTCATATCAGCACACCGTTAACGTACTTTTTTTGCTTATCAGACTCGAATACTATATTTTTCTGGTTAGGTAAAAAGTACTATCTGGTTCCAATAGAAAAAAGCTGTCAAAATCCACCAAGAATGATATCTTGTTAGATAAGGACGGCACTGATACCGAGTGACCGTTCCCCTTGTTTTAGGGCAATATGTTTGGATCAATCTAAATCAAGTACTGAGTTGCATAAATCACCTCAAAACTGGTTAGCTACTTGAGCGGAATTGTAATGTCCTGGATTGAAGGAAGTGTGTACAAGATTCTCAGTTGGTGGTGAAAACTACAGGACCAGATAAACCGTATCTACAAAATTTCACTGTGCCCTACAGTTCTCGCCGAAATTTTATTACTAAGAATTGTGGGCAACTCAACACCAGAAACGTCGACAAAAACAGCAGAACTAGGCGATGTTTATTACTAACATAAGTGTTTGAAAATCACGCAAAACAATCAGAAGTGTTTGTTAAAGATAAACTACAAAACCTTGTTGTATTGATTTCCACCAAGTTCAGTTACTCTTTATGCATACTAATGTTTTTAAGTAGTGTTGAACTGTCATCAAAATTATATTTCAGTAAAAATATTCTAGAGGTTAGAATGGAATTATGATTTTTTGTGTTGCAACTAAAAAGCAAACAGATAATCAGAACTTATTGGAAATTAGTTCACAAATTCTCTTCAGAAAATGTTTATGTGAGAGAAAATATATCAGTTGATTACCTGGATCAAAGAAATTGCTATAAAGTTTGAACTCAAGATAAAAAATATGTAAATTCATGAATATTGTCAGTTTTCAGTTAAATTACTGACATACAATAAGTAAATGTGTGCATCACAACACGTGTTAACTTTAGTAAAGTTTGTTTCATGTGTAAATGAATAGATATGGAAATATTTGAATATTGCAATCTACTATTTTGCAAAATCCATTTTAAAAACAGGAATCAATTAGCCACCACTTAAGGTGTTCGTTAGAGTAAACAAAGACCACAATGTAAGAAACTGTGGATTATGGGTAAGAATATTTGAGATGACTGCTGTTTAGCAGATCAGTATGTATGTAATCAATCGGATGGTGGCTGATTCTGAAATTATGAAGTAGATCGCAGCTGACTGAAAATTTGTCACAACAATATTGTTCACTTTAACCTCAATGATCGCTCTATTTAATATGGATTGAACTATCAGTTGTTATAGTGGTGAAATCATTGGGCACTAGTGACTATTTTTAAATGTGGTTAGTATAAGCTGTAGACTAAACCTGCTGTAGAAACAGTAAGATTCTTGGGATTCGCTTTTACTCATTTATTTCATATACTCCAAAACATTTTTTTAATGACACAGAATTCTGATTGATTTACTATGTTTTAAACCCAATTCTTCTTACAAGGATTTCTGAAAACATTTATTTTTGATGCTTCAGTTAATTTCATTTTTTTTAATGAGAAACATCTTGGACATTAATCTTTGCGTAGGATTGTCACTTGGAATAGGCGTGGTTATGCAGTCGAAAAGCAAATTATTCATCCTTCCAGTGTTCACTATTATCTCATGTGGTTCTGCAGCAGCGGTGAAAATGAACCCAACAATGCGTAACTGAAATCAATTGGATGCCTTCTACATCGATGAAACCAGCTTAAGTAAGGTTGTTTCGGAGCCTCATTTGAAAACTCTAGGTTATCGGAGGCCATCTTCTTGACAGAACACTGATCTTTAAGAAAATGAATTGTATTTTTCCAAGTTTTTTGAATTACATTTGAAAACACCTTGGCAGGTATAACTCACGATGGAGAAATTAGAATTAACAATCCTGACCCCTCTATTCGGAAAAGCAGTTTTCAGACTCCCATTCTTTATGTGACCCAAGCAGCTGAGTAACTGGCTTTTCGCTTCGTTCCTGCACACTTCTAACTTATTGTCTTAGTTAGACTGTTTATGCTTCTTGAAGATGCTTAACAGTCAATCACATCCTTCATTTCCCAAATCCTAATCAACCTATAAATTTATATGAACTATCATTATATTCCTTAAGTCAAGGATATTACTGCTGTTATTTGTCATTGATTGTTTAATGCATGACCTAGTTACTACTGACTGACTAAAATCACTACGATTGACTATTCGTTTGAAGCCTAATAATCAAATGTTTATGAAGCTTTGTATATTACACTAAAACTATATCACAGTTTTCTCTGACAAACGTTCTTTTCGTTGAAGTGATTTTACTAGGATTTAGTTATTTTATTGCCAATATGGCTTTAGTACTATCACATGACCATAACTTCGTATACGCTTCGATGACTAATATCGCCTGCAGTTTTCTCCAAGTTTCTTAAGGCTGTTGTAACTGACTGAAGAGAGTGCAAGAAGAGATTTCCCGCTAATCCTTCATGCATTTGTACATGTGAATAACATGTTCACAACATTGAATACATTAGAAAATACTTTATAAATGGGAAATGGGTAATATGCTTTATAGTTAGATGGCTATCACTGTTGAACAGTACAATATGGAACAATACTTAGCTTTAGGAAATAAGCTGACAAAAATGTTTATAGAATATTACCGTAAAATAATTTTTCAGTAAAATACTTTTTAACATATTTTTACTGAAATATAATTGGCACATCTACATTTCTTTAAGCCGTTTTAATCGAATTCTTCTGATTTCCACACTAAGACTTGAAACATTTTACTTCAGTGTAAACATTTGCTTAGTTTTATTCGGTCGTTCATCAAATGAACTGAAACAGCTTTATAACGACTTTTCTGTGAATTAGTATCATTTAAATGTAGGCAAAAATTGTTAGTAATATGAAAGATGTACAAATTATCAAAGATATTCCTTAGGTGTATCCCAGACCTGCGGATTGTTTGTGATTGGACCAACATTTTGGAAGTAGGTCTTTGTTAATTTCTGTGCATGTATCTTAGACTTATCATGAGTAATAAATGCCTGAAAATCGAATTACCTACATAAGCCATACAGATATCATAATTGCTAAGAAAATCATTTATATACATTTAGTACATGGAGATGTTTTGATGGCGGCCAGTGGTAGAATCCCGAATACACATCTCAGCTTAGTTCGAACTCGTGAGTTATGTGTACTTGCGTCCTACTTGTGACGAATTTCTCACTTAGACTTGAATCTACAACGCACTGCTTCAAAAGCTTTATTGTGATTCACTAGGCTACTGAGCCACAAGAGTTGCATCTTGTGAAACGGGTATCATTTGTTATTTATTGGTGCTCGTAGTTTCATTTTGATTATCATGCTGATCAATTTCACTCACTGAGGAGCAGATACATCTAGCTGATAAGTTCCAAATAGAACAAAGGACACCTTATATTCCGTTAATAGTCACCGCCAGGCAAATGATGTCAAAATGAAACCCGAAGCGATACCAAGGCATCTGTTCAAGGAACCCTTTTGCAAACAGAGGTCGATTAATTCAGTACAGTATGATGACCAATGGAAATTAGAAGCACCAACTAACACTAAGCTATTTTCTTTTATGTATTTGTCAGTGGACAGTTTCCATTTCCGACTAAGTGTTTAACTAAATATTCTCCTTGAAGAGAATAAATACACTACACATTCACTGACTTTACCATTTTACTTTATTTCATTTTAATTGCCTGGGTTTTTTTATTCTTTGTTCTTTACCTGTTAGTTGCTGTTATTGGGTAAAGCAATGGCATCTGCATTATCAGGATCACTGGCAATCATATCATCTTTGCTAGATAGTTGTGTTGATTTAGCCTCCGGTGGAATCATGTGGTATGCATCTCATCAAATGCGCAAAAAGAAACCATACAAATATCCACAGGGTAATTTGTTCTAATTTTGTTACACTGTTGAATTAATCGTATAATAATAAAGCGAAATGTACAAAGTGGACTAACCTACTGTTTTGGACTAATATGTAAAATTTATTATCCAAACAATTTGATTTCAGTGATAACGAAGCGAAATTTTTATCCGTATAAGTGTAAAACTTGGGCACTTTGGTAAAATCTAACTCAATTCCATAAATTGAATAAACAAATCTAATGTAGAAGTTGAATTTTGTCACTGATATGTGCTGCGTTGTATTGAAACTTAACATTTTCAAACTTAGTATGAATGAAGCTTTTAAATAATTTTATTTCTACTTGTCCTATTTTGTATTTTATCGAAAAAGAAAATAACTTGTTAGTTTTACAGTTATATCATGTACTTTTTTTATTTCTCGAAAAAAATGTTTTTTAGTACTCTGCCAGTTAAAAATTCTGAATATTTAAAATGCGTCAAACAACGATGATACTAAAGCATTCTCTTTAGAATTAAAGATTGTTAACTACAAATCTAAACTACAGGAAATGGCTCATAACTCATATGTGCTACAAAGGCTACAAAGTTGTATTTAATATGCTAGAAATTATAATAATACCTATTTGCCTAGGCTAGTTAAGATTAATTTGGCTTGAACCTATAGCCTAGAGATCGGTTCTCAATGATTTGATGCAATGAATTAGTATTTTAGTAGTGCTCTGAGACTGGAAACAGAACAAATCACGCGATTATGAATTACAGTACAAACACAAAGCAGTAATTCAATAAAATATAGTGTTTAAAGGTTATCAATTACAAGTCATATTCCACGCTACTTTCATATTGATAATGAATGGTTTCACAGACACTAGGTCACGACTATTACGTATTCATGCCCTGAGGGAGGAAACTTTTGACCTTAATACCTCAGAGATGATTGCTAGGTTAAGCAATAAGATAAGCTGATTTTACACAGAAGTAATGTGACTTCTTTTGGTGCTGAAAATATGCTATAATCATATGCTATGAAAAACTTACAAGATTAGATATCACGTTTGAGAATGCATGCGACTATGGGCACTGGTGGTATTTGATTTTGATATTCGGGAAACCGTATAAAATTTCAGATCCAGTTTCACTTTGAAAGCAGTGAACTTCCAGGGCATACCACAAAACATTCTAAATTGAAATGATTGAACTTGATTCTTGACGAGGCTGTAGATCTATTTAGACTACTATCACCACCGGCACACCTATACCAGAGTCAAAGTTAAGCTTCAAAACAGAAAATATTTTTCGATCATGTAAATTTACAAGCATCTTTGTTTTCACTATTTGTTGATATGCTAGCACTCGAGTGGATCAAATTGTACGACCTCTATCGGCATATGAGCTCCTACGTAGATGCCTCAATGTCACCTGAAAATTTATTATGGTAATTTAATTCGGCATGGCTACCAGAGGAATTCAGGATGCGCGGTTTTTCCTATTCAGGACTCGTTAGCTGGACAGACTGCACTCCAGTGAGTGATGTTGTTTATACTAGGACTCGAACCTCGAACCCATCGCTTCAAACGCCGAAGCGTTATCCACTAGGTCACGGAGGCACCTCTTGTACAAGGCGTATTAGCCGTTACTATTTGTTGATACACTCATAATTTTCCGTTGTTTTACTGGGTTGAAGTGTTCGACCTCTGTTGACATATTGTCTCTCATGCGGATGCCTCGATATTGTCTTTGGAGGGGGGGGGGAGGCACATCCAGCTAACGATTTCCAAACTGGACGAAACGCACCTCCTGGATTCCTCTGCTAGCCACAACCAAGCAAATTTTCCTTATTTTCCATTACACTTAACGAATATTTCCCGGTGAGTGATGTTATTTTAGTTATTCAGTGGTTTATGGCATCTGAACACTCTCGATCTCTTACATTATATTTAGGATAGCTTCAAACTCCAGAAATATTCATGATCAGCATCTAGATCGCAGACACAAGACTTGAAAAAACGTGATTAGGGAACTGTAATTTCCTGGGCAAGTTTAGATTAAAAGTCGATCACCTGCTCGATGATATAATACTATCAGCGCTCAACGTCACTACTGAATAAATGCCGCTACCATCCTTTACTGATTTATCTTTTTTATCAAAACTTTTTCATACGTTTTAAAACCAAAAAAATTGAATCATTACCAAATGATTGGTAACATGGTTTAAAGCAAGTACTTAGTGTCATGACTTCAAACTCAAAACTTAGTTATCCCGACGATTCATGAACTGAAAATAAACATTTTTCCAGCTCTCTTAATTTCAGATGTTCCTGAGCTGAGTTTGGTTTGTAAATACTGTTCAGTAGTTGAAATATCTCCCTTCTGACCTGTTGGTGATTCTCTTTATCGTTTTATTTATTATTAGGTCGAACTAGGCTTGAACCAATAGCTGTGATCGTGCTAGCCGTGTTCATGGCTAGCATATCTTTACAACTTATAGCTGAGTCTATACAAGCTATAGTTCGTATGTCGCAAAACAAGCAAGGACCCCCTAACGTTAATAATTTAACACTTGGAATAATGGCAGCTGTGATCGGTATGTGTGTATGTATTTGAATGTATACAATGTCCGCCTTTTTATTGTTATTGTTAATGATTAGGTTGAAAATTATACATTGACAGTACTTATTATTATTTCATATGCTCTCACATCTAAATGACATAGTTATTTAACAGTTTTCAAAGTGATGTTTTGATTCATGAAAAGTTGCAGTTGGTCACATCACATTTGACTGAATATATATTCACTCCCGTTGGTAAACTTGGGAAATACAATGTGAACAGTATTCTTGGAATATGATATTTTATTGCACAGGATTTTCACCGGAAATATACTCTAGAAATTAATGACTGATGTATAATTGTTAGCATGCCTGCGATTTTTTGCCATATAATTTCACAACTTGAGCATATAGAATAAGGGATAATACAACCCGGGTCTCATATATACGAATTTGACTAAACAACACACAATAAAACAAGGAGATGAACGTTTTGTAATGGAAGATAGAAATTTATATGTGTCAACAGGTGGTTATATAAATGCATGGAAAGCATACAAATGCCCAGAAAATAATAAGTTGGCAAGATAATATATTACAACAAGGATGATAAATGCAGAAATATAAAGGTCATAGTGACAAGTTTTCATATGGATTTGGGAGGGAGAGTTAGTTTTCTTTGGGAGAATAAAGTCATTCATTACCATGACCGTAAAATAGTTACTACCTTTTCTGTTTAAACATGTAATTTGGGTTACATGCACTTCACCACTGTGACTTCAGCAAACTTATATGTACTTAAGTCTTCTGGCTTTGAGCAATCATGAGTACCCCCGATATGTTTTTTATCCTGTTCCCAATGTGTGGTTGGTTATTGCATCACTGAGGGAAAAACGGATCTCTGTACTCAAATCTTTTTGTACATTAAAAAAATATAGGTAGACAACCATCTGTATATTCTTCGTATATGCATACCTCCACATGCGCTTATAAATTAGTCAATACAAGTGAAAGTATAAAGAGTTGACATCTTGTCTACTTCTGACTGAGTGACTGAGCATTCTGTTTGATTCAGTAGCATTAGTGTTGCAATCTGATAAATCCCTGAGATGGTACCTGTAACCCTGCGGTTTATTCCCCTTCCCATGTTGTCGCCGTTGAAATCTGATCCTCTATACTCGGTCATATTACCTTATTATTCTGTTACTTTGTAGTATTTCTGGATAAATTTCCAGTAAATATCATATGACCAACTTCAGTTCAGCATGAAGCGTCTCTTTGAACCACATTTTCTCACTTCTCTATAGTATGGTGTGCAGAGTGAGTAGGAACTATTATATTTCAGGCAGTGACCACTCTAAGTAGTTTCACGATGAGTATTTCGGTACATTAAACCGCTTTCTTAGCACATCATGCATAGGAGAAAGACCAGTTGGTTACTTTTTCCCATTCCATCGTTAAACTGACGGTGTAAGAAATGCTTGCAAAAATTGTAGGCATTTTCGGTACTTGGTGAAACTTACTATTAAGATAGAAGGTATCATTGACGCGCCTCACCTAAGAGGTGCATATACGAGCTACGGGTTTCAGGAATTGTTGTCACACGTAATATCAGATACCCTCAGATCTTTACCCTTTTCGTAAGTACTCTGACATAATGAAACTTTACAGTCACCTGCCCTAGTGGATACTGGCAACAGGTAAACGTCATCGCTGTTTTAGCTTAGCATGTACGTATGGGGAACAGAATGTAATACATACAGACGTTTTTAAGAAATAAAACTTGACTGCTTGACTAGTTTAGGCACAAAGTAAGATACTCAGTTCCTGAGAAAAATACTGTTACAATGGTTCACAGTTACTTTTTCCATTATTTAATTTACACTAAAATTTCATCATATTTCTGTGCATCATTTATGTAATACATTTTAAGCATATATAAGTGAGTCTGATGATGTTTTAATGTTCTCTCAGACTTAATATTTTGTCATGAATGTTTCATCACGAAGCCTGAGCTACAAATCTTTTCCATCACTACAGCTTATGCTTATAAAAGTTAATATATTTGTATGAACATGCTTAACTCGCAATGGGTTCAAGAACAAGTAACTGATACTCTAGGTAATAATCAATGAGAGCATGATAAGGTTTTTGTTAGATTGATATTATTCATATCAAAATAAAACGTGGTAATGATTGAAGTTTCCATTTCGTAGATAATTATGAGTTTTGATCAGTGGGCATTTTTCATTCATCTCCATGTCTGACAATCGAAAAAATTTCCTTCACTTTCTTGTTATTTTCCTTGTCTCCAGGCGTTAAACTGTGTTTATGGATTATGTGCATCAAATTTGGCAGTGGGATGGGAGTAGATGCTCTTAAGGCTGACCAACGTAACGATATAATTAGTAATGCTGCATCTATGCTATTCGGGGGTCTTGGTGGCCGACTACGTAAGTCACTCGCCAGTTATTATATATATATATATATATATATATATATATATATATATATATAATGTGTCTGAGGTATTGTAATAACTTACCAACAGGATGAAATAATGTACGCTTATCTATTGACATTGTTTAGTGAAATTTAGATCTCATTCATTGCTGCATTATTTGCTTCGTTCGTAAGCTCTTTGTATCATTATGATTCTGTAATGCACTTTTTATATGATATCTCCATAAATTTTTAAAAGCTTTTCAAATTATTAACTGACACGTAATATTCGGAAAACCCATTATCATCACTTTAGAATGATTACTTGACGACAATTAAAAAAGGACTACATTTAGTTGTGCATGCAAACACCACTTGATTATTTTGATCATGAATTGTAGAATGCAAACAGCTTCAACTTGGAATAATGCAGGAACGAAGGCATTTGCAGAATATAATAAAATCATTTTATTTCACGACCCTTCAACAGCTACAAACAGCCTACAATTGAAAAGAACTATTAGTAGTGATAATAACATAACGTACTTTAAATATGTAGAAACAAATGAATATTCGAAATCCATTATTAACAATAAGGTAGTGAGTTGAGGAAACACAGGATTAATAATCGCAAACCTTAATCGGAACCAATGGCAACTTATAACAGGTAAGATAAAGGATTCTGGAGTTGTGGGAAGGGGAGATGCAGCAAGTAGACAAGAGTGTCAAAGAAGAGGTTGCTAAAGAGCTAGTAGGTCACGTAATTGTACGAACAAACTAGAAAAACGTAAGTTGGGTGATTAACACTAAGTTATTAATGAAGATATGATGTAATTAAAGGGGATAAATATATGCATACATATATGCAAAACTATATACACTTACCAAGGTAAAGAAAGGCTAAATGTAGTCTCTTTCTGAATATACAGATCATGTTGAAAATGTTTGATGGCGAGAGTTTCCGCAGATATAAATATGGTGTTCTTTGTTTGTTGATTACTTTGAAGGATTGAGAAGCATCTATTTGGTGTCCATCAGGTGACTTGTGACAGATTTCTTGGAATATGCTCATAAAATCGAGTAGACACTCTTCTTCCAATCCTTTGTTTGTACTTTCTTCCACAAGCACAGATGGGTTGGTATACACAGTTGAAGATGGCTTGAGCTAGGTATTTGTCTACTTTCGACTCTCACTAACTCTTGAGTACTAAATAAAGGGAAGCAGGTTGCTTCTCAATCCCTCCTTTTTCACTCCTATCTGTTTGCTGCATCCCCTCTTCCTACAACTCCAGAATCCTTTATCTTACCTGTTATAAGTTGCCATTGGTTCCGATTAAGGTTTGCGATTATTAATCCTGTGTTTCCTCAACTCACTACCTTATTGTTAATAATGGATTTCGAATATTCATTTGTTTCTACATATTTAAAGTACGTTATGTTATTATCACTACTAATAGTTCTTTTCAATTGTAGGCTGTTTGTAGCTGTTGAAGGGTCGTGAAATAAAATGATTTTATTATATTCTGCAAATGTCTTTGTTCTTGCACTATTCAAAGGCTCCAACTTTTTTGATTCATTTGTTGAAGGACAGGACATGATGACTTAGATAATTGAGAGAAGCAATCCTTGTAAATAATACATGTGATAAACAATTTCTGTAATAAAAATGTATATGCCAAGTGTTTTCAAAACACGAGTAAGTTGGAAAGTTGTTCTGATGATAAAATAGAGGACTATAGATATCCAGAAAGCTACATTGAAAGATACCAAGTTGTGAAAGAAGTTAAAAAGGATGTTATCCCGGTTGAGAAATGGCATGTACTTATTGGGCTGACATTTCTATGAGATGACATCTTAGACAGATTGGCCGAATGAAAGACTTTCGCTATCGAATTGTATGTATTAATGAAGGTTATTTCTTCATATAGCACCACTCAAAACTCATCCCACTCGTAAATGATAGATTATCGATTAGTATCATTTCCAACTGTATTCGTATTCTCATATGTGTTGGTGGAATTTTATGCACTAAACATATCAAAGATAGATTTTAATTCCTGCCAGGTTGTATGCTGTACAGCAATTTATGAGCTAAACTGGACGTCACTTCAACATATATACAGTCTTTCAACAAATAAATCGTTAAGTAAACTAGATTTCAGTTTGCTCTGCTGAATCTGAAAAGACATAGGATCTTTAATATTTGCTGTGTCACATCATCCACTAGATATGCAAAATATTTTCTCTAACAACTGCTAGACGGTAGAAAAATACATCACTCTCATCTCCATTTGTGGCATTCTCCGAAGTTTTATCGGTTGCATGTCACCTCTTTCAGGAAGTACAAATCATGCGCAGACCGAATTGCAACGCTTCGCATCATCATAGAACAGAGCATAGAATGGCAATCAGCTCTCTACCTCAACTTCATCGACTTTGAGAAGGCCTTTGACAGCGTCGACCGAGAAGTAATTTGGAAACTGCTTCATTACTACGGAGTACCGCAAACCTTTATCCGCCTCATTCAACAACTATATGAAGATGCCACATGCCAAGTAATTCACAATGGGAAGCTCAGTGATGCTTTTGAAGTGAAGACAGGAGTGAAACAAGGTTGCCTACTATCCCCATGATATTCCTGATTGTGGTCAACTGGACTGGATCATGCAGCAAACAGTAGGCAGCGAGAAGAGGGGGATACACTGGACTGCGGAAAAGAACCTAGAAGACTTGAATTTCGCCGATGACTTGTGTCTGATGTCACACAAACTCGAAGATCTATAGACGAAAACTAACAAGTTGGTAGAAGAGGCAAGGCAGCGAAGATGGGACTTCAGGTGAATATAGAGAAGACAGAAGTGATGAAGATACCTCACCAACAACTCCAACAACAGCAAACTCCAACCACCATGAAGGGGAGAAACTTAAAGGAAGTAACCTCCTTCACTTATCTAGGAAGCACTGTTTCAACTACAGGCGGGACGGACGAGGACGTCAAAGTCAGAATCGGAAAAGCAAGGCAGGTGTTCATTAACCTGAAACCAGTGTGGAGATCTTCTGCACTCAGCATTCGGAACAAGATACGGATTTTCAACACCAACGTCAAGTCAGTGCTCCTGTATGGTTCAGAGACCTGGCGCGTCACGAAAGGGATTTCCAATAAACTACAGACATTCATCAATAACTGCCTACGCTGGCTCTTTACTGAAGATCAGATGGCCAGAAAGAATAAACAACAAGGAGCTCTGGGAACGAACCAACCAAGAACCTATCACGCAACAAATATGCAGGAGGAAGTGGAGATGGATTGGCCATGCACTGAGAAGGCCGACTGGGGACATCACGCGTCAGGCCAGGCCCTCGAGTGGAATCCCCATGGGAAGTGACGAGTTGGACGTCCGAGGGTGACATGGAGGAGATCGTGCGAGGAGGAAATGAGAGCTTGTGGGCTGTCGTGGAACCAGGTTCAAAAGATTTCAGAGAACAGAGTTCACTGGAGACATGCTACTGAAGCCCTATGTTCCACTAGGAACTCAAGGGACTAATAATAATAATAATTATAATAATAATAATGTCACCTCTTCACTGTACATGCTTTTCTCGACGTATATTTGCTTTGCTTCACTTAATACTTTGGTATTCATGATGAGAAGTTCGTAGCTTAGGTGAAGTAATGAAATAAACTTAACTCGGTATGCTGTGTAGATGCTCTTTTTGCTTTATTGTATGCGTGGCCTACGGAACACCTGTGTATTTGAGGATCTATTTCTTAGTTTACAGATCTGAAAACATTACTCACTTCAAAACTGTTTTTTCAGCAATTCATAGCCGAATTCACGTACTGCTCACACGGCAGCTTTGGTTCAACTTCTTCAAATTTACCATGGTGCATCGAGCGATATGTTACTTGTTTGAATGTAGTCCTGTTTCTGACTAGCAACCGAGTTTGTTGCTGAAAATACTAGGTGATCTTACTGAATCATATTGTTAAATTTCTTCTTGTTTATCTAATTAGTGTGGAAAATATGCTTTTAGTGTGGCTAGGTTATAAATGAGTTCTCGATACTAAGAATACAATTTAACACATTTTACTAGTATGATTTCTTTTGATTCTTAGAAAAATTGTTTCCAGATTATACTTTAGAACGACAATTAATGTTCGCATGTTCTTATGTTAAGAGAAAATCCTGCAATTCACTCATACCTCACAATCTATATCCTGATGCTGCATATATTTTCTACCACTGACAGTCTTTATAATGCAATAACTTACGAGAATATTTCGGTTGGTCGATGCATATTTGTGGTTACTTCTTATGTTGCATCTAGCGTATATGGAAATAAATAGCTAGTTGGGAAGAATATGCATCTTTATGCAATTTGTTTTATGAGCAAAACTACTGACGATTATAAAACACAAACCCATGTGTTTATAATGAAGCTGTAAAAAAGTTCGTTATACAATAGAGAACTAATTACTTCGTCGCAAGAGAGTGTTTCGCCGCAGTAACCTTAGGTTTAAGCTTTACATCACTTGTATGGTCTACTTAACTTCTTTACCACCCGAGATGCCGCTTAAAGTTAAATAACGGTAGTGTTATATCGTACGTTCAGAGCACATGAGTTAATTTTTTCCATTTAAATCATTTTACCAAACCTATATTTTTCGTTAAGTTTTCTTCACTGAACTTAGTTCTTTAATTTTGTTGCTTAAAACAAAAGGTAAGACCGATATTAGATGACAGTTTAACTAGACGTACAACCCACTCTTTTAATGAGTTTATATTGAAGAAATACTTTTAAAGACTACCCACAAAAATTAGACGTTTTAGGTTCAAATTCTTAATTACGTCAAGTAGCTCAGATATTTCGTTCCTCAACATCAATAAGGTAGATATGTAACTTTTGTTGCTCATCACTGCAGTGCCGAAAGTCTGTTGAATAAGCTTGAAATTGAGAATTTGCTAAGCGAATAAGTTTGAAGATGTTATTTAGGAACTTTGAAATGACATTCAGGAAGTCCGAATGAGAAGTCTAAACCAGTGGGACAAAGCAATTCGTACTTGAAGATAGTTACTCAACAATGGTATTTAAGGATGATAGCACTATATCAAAAACTAGTTGGAACAGAAAAATCGGATCATTGGACTCTGGCCTAGTAGCTGAAGAACAGCGTGCTGGCCATGGAACCTGAATTTACTAAGTCCGACCCTCGGCAAGGGCATGAGTACGCACTGCTGAAGAGTACTATACTAGGACGAAACAGATGCCCTATGCTCCTAGCCTTTCAATGGTTCTCCAGCTGAAGTCAATTCATTATGAATACTAACTTTAGATCAACATAATTTTCATTGAGTTAGTGTTGAGTGTAAATAGTCACTTAATTAACCTTCTTCTTTACACAGGTTTGCACGTCTAGTTATCCAGTGTCTCATATTATAACTTCAAGTGATCAAACGAATTTTTAAATCGTTCTAGAGTAATCTTTTTAGATGGCTAACCGATCCATTCTATTTTTCAGTCTTCAGTAAACGCGAAATACACAAAGTTCTGGTTACATTGAGTATATCACTAAACCTGAAATGCTTAGGGATGTACATAGCATATGTTTAAAGAACTTCATAGTAAAATATTACAGTTTTCCTGTGAACAATTGAAGTCATGTTTAAAGATATTATAACACTTCAAGACTTGGATTTTTTTGAAGTAAAAATGATATTGATAAGTAAATAGGTGGTTTTCGGGACATTGAACCTGAGCCTGATTAAGCTAACCAGCTGTGAATAGTCATGTCGACTTTGGGGTTTGTAGGAATTTATTGATTTTAAGTTGATATTCATCATTAACTTCGATAGGTGATTCCTGAAGTTGCAATAAGAAGTTACAACCGGTTAGGCAAACCAGGTGAATGCGAGGAAAAATACTTAACAATGAAACTGGGTGATGGTCACGCTACATCGTAAACTGACAGAAGTAAGAAATATGAACCACTATATTCCGACCCAGTGACTCTTTGGTAATATGCTGGCCGTGGCACCTAACGTTCCCGAGTTCGATTCCTGGCAGGGTCATGTATGCGCACTGCAGAGCGATCCCATACTAGAACCAAACAGCTGTCTTGTACTTCCAGGTTTCTAATGTTTCTACGAATGATGTCAATGCATGATAACTACCAACTTGAAGTGATTTTGTTTCGCATTTAGTCATTGAAACGACCTTTAGTTATGACTATATTTATTTTGTTATAAAAAATTATTTTCATTTTAGGTTCTGAATTGTAAAAATTACAAATGAGCATAGTGCTTGAAAATATCTGATTTTTTTTCGTATTCCCATGTTGTGCTTTACTAAACCTGCACTGGTTTTCAATTATACTTTAAGCCCTTGAGATTATACGTCTTTGAGATTTTTCTTACTTTTCCGTTTTGCGACCTGGATTGTATAGTTTTGAATTCTACGGGGTTGTATTAAAATAGATTCAGAAATACAAAATCAAAAGGTTGAACAGTTTCAACTTTTAACATAAGGGTGATGTTGTATGATTTAGCCAACTAATCTTCTCTTGGATTCTGCTTCTAGTTAGGGTCAACATTACTGTGTTCGCTCTCCATAAAACGTTACTAGACGTTAGCTAGTGCTCTTAGGATCCTTCGGGTTTAGTTTCCCATACAATATATACCGTTATCTATCCATATGCACTAAAACAGGGCGAATATTGATCACATTGCTTAACTGTTCATTCTTTTTTGTATGAAGAAAGAACTTCAGAGTCGATCTGATGATGTGAGTAACATTTATGATTGTCAGAGATACGAAGTAAAGCAGTTAAAGGTAACTCCCAAGAGAATCTCTTAAACTCGTTGCTGTCCTCACATTCCAGTGCCGAAAAGAAAATGTAAAGAGTTGTCGTTTCGTACACTTATATTCAGGATGCTGACCAGCGAAACGGTAACAGCATCCCGATTAAAATGGTTCTAGAATGCAAAAGTTATATATCTTCAAGTACGAATCTTCTCAGGTGTCTTACTTATTTTATGCTCCAGTTGACGTTTCTACCGTCAAAGATATCCATTTTAAATTTTTATCAACACATTTTAACACCATAAACAATAGATTTCAGAATACATTTTTTATTGAAATGTTTGTGAAATAGTTTTCTTGTCTTATCTTTAACTACAGCTGCCCTACTAGGTGAAAGTAAGTGTTCATCATCAGTTGGAAACATTTTTTTTCTGCTACCACTTCCAACTTATTTACTTAACACTTTTGTCTCGAAAAACTCATGTACACATTTCTTTGTTTTGCTTGTCCTACATTATAACACTTGTGCATGCAAGTTAAAGATGCATGCATCATATTCCATCTCATCTCAATACTCTATGAGAATGCATCTTCTTTTCCGACATTTATCCCAACATGTCGTTTACTTTATTCATATTGTCAAACACTGTTTTTAGAAGCGCGCAAAAACACCTCATTGTTTTCATTTTAATTTTCCATGATTTATATATATATATATATATATATATATATATATATATATATATGGGCGAAAAGGAAACTTTGAAGTAATATGTTTTTAGATAAAGCGTTAGCTCAGATAAATACCAATTCTTAACTATTAAACATCCTATCGAATGTCAGCATTTTTTTGCAAATTCGAATGAATGAAGACATTTTAGGCGGATAAACCTAACTTCTAAATAACCTTACTTGACCTAATCTTAACATCTGTTAGTGACCATGGAGAAGATAATATCCACGAACTCAGGCATATAACGTCAAGAAAATGCTTTGTTTAACAGCATAGACAGATGTCTTTTTGCTGAGTTATTCCAATAATCTTTCAGAGCAATGCTGTCAACTTTGAACCTAAGGTTGACAAAAGGCTTTTCAAAAGTCATAAAAACACCTTAATTACTCCTTACAGGTAGAAAACTTCAGCTCAAACCTTTTATTCAGACAATCTGTAATCTAATAACAGAGAATACTGTACATCAAGACATCTTGTGAGTTATTGTTTGTAGTGAATGGATCAGTAGGCGTTCATCTCCTCTCACAATTAAAGGTAGAAAATGATTACTTTCCAGTTAATAAACCGTTTTATTTTTAAACACTGACCAGTGAAATTCGACTGTTCTTAAAAGGATTATTACTCTACATATAGTGAATTTTTATCCGTGCTTTGATTTTTTAGTCAGGGTAATTGTCTTATTCAGTCTGTCATCTTACTTACCAAATTCTAATTAAACTTTTCTTATAAAATTTCTTTCATAAGTATTTTCGTTACATTTGAGCGATGCATTCTCCCTCCAATAATAAGAATAATGTATCTCACCATAAATGGAACCCAAAAATACTATCTTATGTATCACTTACTAACTTTGCCAAGAAAAAACTGAATTCCTACTCTCTGACCTCTTTTGTTACTGATGCAGTCTAGTTATATCTTATATTTGTAAGATAGTTCATTTACCCGGTGAAGCATTTATTGATTGTGTAACCTTGGAGCTAACTTTTAGTGTTTTGTTGTTTTTCGGTATTTCTAACTCATTAAAATACTTCGCATTACTTCAAGCATGTTGATATCAATGTATGCCGTAAACACTGATTTATATATATTTCTTGCATCATCAATTTTGTATTTTTTTAGCGGACGATTACCAACATAGTAAATATATTCCATCCGGCTGATTATTGTTGGTTGTATTGTCATACTATGTTTTACTCTCTCCTCGAAACAACAAGGTTTATTCTTACTTCTGATGCCTGCAAAATTCCGTTTCACTGGCTCTGAAAAATACATCTCATAATAGATCTTAGACATTTTCTATAGCACATAGTGGTACAGTATTAGTTATGATATTTTTAAAGATGTAATTTATTACTTATGATCATATCGATGTAGTCATATATTTCCCAACACTTGGTTGTCATAATTTTGCTGTTTTTTGCTCTTCGGCTGCAATATTGATTAAATTGTCTCCGAAAACGGTGTTACATCTTCTTAATTGCAGTTATTATGTGCTGATTGAATAATTTCATCGTAGTTCTTTTTTATGTCTCTCACAGTGAAACTACTATTTACTGATGACGATGAAGCTGTGTCTCACAGGTTCCAGGAGTTGACTTTAAACCAGTGTGTCATGAATTCGAACCATGTTCCATCTACTGAGGTTTGGCCAGCCAGGTTAAATTATTAGCCTTACGCAATAGGTGTGGCTCACTGCCTACTGCACGAATGCGTACAAGGTGGCTTAGTGGAGTTTGATTCGACTAATGACTTTTTTTAACGAAGTGTATTGCTCATAATTATTTCGGCAACGAATTGTAGCTGAAAATTCATCAGTAAGTTATCTCATCGCACTATGCGACACATAAAAAGAACTATGGTGAAATCGTACCCTACTACAGTGTTCAAGTTCTCTTCTCATATTATTGAATGGATAAATAAACCTATCAATATTCACTCTCTCTTTGCACTTTTGAGTTTACAGCACTCCTACTCCCCACCATCCAGTTATACAACTGTTTCACTGACTACCAAGAAATAGATGAGTCTTTCTTTCAACTTTTTATGGGTAACTAGTTGCACCGAAAACGTCATTCAACAGATAATACCATATCATCGGGTTTTATTAAATAAAGAAGCTTTGTGTCGAATGAAATTCATCCATCGTGCCACCATAATCCGACATTTATTTACTTATTTTGTACTGATAAGATGGAATATGAACCAGTTACTTTTAGAAGTATATACGTACTCGAGAAACTACCAACCTGATGGCATGTCAAAGTCAGATTATAGAATAAACTGCTTTCAATTTTTTGTCTATTCATTGTCTGTTAATTCTTCAAGCATAACCTCTGTTAAAGTGAGTGTTTTATGAAAGCTAATGTTATATTCACTCGGTTATGAAATTTCATGTTATGCGTCCGACGTATACATATATAGGTTAATAGGGATTTTATTCTTAAAATACCATTCATCATGGACTGACATCACTCAGAGAACCGATGGAAAACTAAGAGCCTTGGGCAGACTTTTCGCCCTTGTATGGGACTCATCAGCAGTAAGCACCCACGACCTGGCTAGGAATCGAACTCAGGACCTTCAGATTTCATGGCGAGATCGTTAACTATTCAGCCAATGGGTCGGAGTTTAGTGGTTTGATCCCTAACCGGGTCGCGGGTGCGAGCTGCTATGTTTCACACTAGGGTGAAACGGCTATTCAGTGCTTCCAGGTTTTCAGTGGTTCTCCAGCTGATGTCAGTTCATAATGGATGCTATCTTATATATATATATAATTATTTTTGTCACTTGTGTGCACCACTCCCAATTAAACAGATGTTTTCGTGCATATATTTTAATAATGCATCTTTGTTTGCATCATAACAGACATTTACTGTGATAAACTAATTTACGGATCATTCTACTTACAATCTAAAACATATCGTGCAGAAGATATCACAAGAAATATGCAGTAGTTTTTACCTTAATTGCATGCATGATTTAATGAATAATTTTCAGTCTTCTTATTTCTATTATCATTTGTCGATTACTATTTATGTGAGTTTCATTAATCTTTGAAAAAACTGACTATGGCTGACAGCTGACTATTATAATGATTGCTGTTTGTCCCTTGAGTTTCTAGTGGAACATAGGGCTTCAGTAGCACGTCTCCATTTCACTCTGTTCTCTGTAGTCTTCCTAACCTGGCTCCACGACTGCCCACAAGCTTTCATTTCTTCCCCACTTAATCTGCTCCATGTCATTCTCGGACGCCAAACTCTTCGTTTCCTATTTGACTTTCACTCAACGGCCTGGAGCGTGATGTCCCCGAATAGTCTTCTTAGTGTATGACCAATTCATCTCCACTTTCTTCTACATATTTGTTGGGCAATGGGTTCTTGGTTAGTTTGCTACCAGTCAGAGTTCCTTGTTGCTTATTCTGACCATCTGATCTTCAGTACTGAGTGAGCGCAGGGGCAGCTGTTGATGAATGTCTGTAGTCTGTTGGGAATGCCTTTCGTAACGCGCCAAGTCTCAGAACAATATAGAACCATATAGGGATGTTGCCTAGTGTCTCCCATTTTTCCTGATAGCTAACATGAAGATGTCCTTTGTAGTTTCGTCCTTCAGTCCAGTTTCTGTTCTGGGTGTTGAACTTCAACTGTGGTCTATCACCAACTTTTTTGAAGGCTTTTAACTTGGTTTTGAAGGTGGGTTCCATACATTAAACAGTCAGTAATCTCCCCGTCTTGATCTGATCTTGTGTCCAGTAGGCTGACTGCATCTCCACTTTCTTCACATTGAGATGAAGTCGATCTGATTTTAGTGTGTCAGGTGAAATCCATGTTGATTTGTGAATATCCTTGTGTTTGTACACAATACCTCCAATCACGAAATCATTAAATGCGCAGAGGCCTACAAGCAGTTCTCCATTCTCATTCATCACTTCATCAAGTGCTTCTCGACCCATAATGAGTTCTTTCCCTGTATTTGGCATTCATATCACCCCATCCACTAGAATTTTGATGTCGCCAACTGGACTGGGGTCTTGTCTAGTACTGATTGCAGTTGTCTGTCGAATTCCTCCTTCTTCTGTTCATCTCCATTATCTGTAGCTGCACAGCGTAGCATTGTATGATTGTGACTTTCCTTCCTTTTGAGTTGAATCTTGCTGTCATGACCCTGATGCTGGAGGAGATTGGTTCCCACTGCATGAGAGCCTTCAATGCTGTTGGGGACGTCATGACAGCCACTCGAAAACTCAGTGTGCTCTTGGTTGTCGTCTGGGTGACAATATCGAAGTAGATTATTGACACTCCTCTCCAGTTGACAGTTTGGAGAGTCCACTTCCATTCTATCTACTCTCACAGATTCGTAGCACATCTATGCCATACCTTCTCATCTCCTTCACAATCTGGGCACCCTTGCAAGGTTCAACCATTGTGCAGACATTCCATGTCCCCATTCTCACTTTCGCTTTCATTGAGACATTAGAAGATGTATCGGTCAATTGGGTTCCCGAAGGCTTTCACCAACCGGCATCATTTCGTCTCTTCGATTCCAGTGAGGAATAAGTTTATTTTTATTTTTAATATTTTCTTTGTGCTTACAAGTTTGTTTAGCTGTTAGATTTGTTTTCCGTGTTGGGGTTGCTAGCCCTATGCCCAACCTTCCTTCTTTATTC